AATTAATATTATAAATGTATTTGCAAAATATATGATTATGAGTTTTTCTTGCTTTGCATATCAAAATACACAAAACTTGCTTCAGTTGAGTTCAGTTTCGGTTGGTTCTTTTCATTTCACTCATTCATTTCGTTCAGTGTACTTTGGTTTGCTTTCTTCCTCAGCTGCTATCTCTGTACCTCTGCCTCCTATCTCTCTATCCCTCTGTCTTTCATTCTTCCTTTCCGTTTCTCTATATATGTATATTTCCCTTGAATTTAGTTTCGATCTTCGTTTAAATTCCGTTTGGATTTGTTTTTTTTTCTTTTCTTTTCGTGCAGTGTACTTTGGCTTAATTCTCACACACACAGCCCACTATCTTTCTCTCTCTCTCACACACACACACACTCACACCTTTTCTCCAAATTGTTTCAGTTGTTGTGCTACAATCTCCAAAAAAAAATACCACAAAGTGTTCCGTGTTTATACAACTTATGTAAGAAGCGTATATGTTTTTTTGCGCAGTGTTCTTGCCAACTTGACTTGATTTCATTTTGTTTTAGTGTATAAGTAAGCCAAGAGCAAACACAAAAAAACAAAAACAGTTTGATTACGCAATTTCTCGCAGTGCATCATTTCATGCGGATGTTTTGGATGGAAAACATTTTCTGTTGGTTTTTCGTTCTCTCGTTTCTCTTGGTTGGTATCACGCCCACTTTTCAGTTTTCAGTTTGTTGTTGTTGTTCTTGTTGTAGACGAATTTTTTATGTGCTTTTTTTCGTTGTTGTTGCCCGGTAAGTAAAACAAACGAATCAAGTTGATGCAGCAGCAGCAAACTGAGAGAAACACCAAAAAAAAAAACGGCTAAAACTTATTTATAAAAAAAAAAAAAATGAACAAAAACGAAAATATAAACCAGAAAAACGAAACCAAAGAAATACAACAAAAAAACAACAATTACATTATCCAGGCTAAATATAATATAATTTGATTTGCTTTCCTCTGTACAGCGTTGAATATTTGAATATTTGATTTTCCTCAATAATAAACATCGCCCATGATGAGTTTTGACTTCAACAATAATGGTTTTTTTGTACTCTCTATTTTTTTCTATTGTAGCTAACCACGAAAAAAAAAAACACTTAAAAACAAAAACTAAAAACAAAAAATAAATAAAAAAAAGAAAAAAAAATTAAAAACTAATATTTAAACCGAGCCGAATGCATATTTCTAATTTGTTTCTTTCTCTTGATTTATTTTCAGGCGTGTGTTGTTGTTCGATTTTTCAATTGAATTTGACATTTAACATTTACATTAATTACATGTTTAACTTTCAATGAGTTAATTAATTGCAACAAAAACAAAAAAAAAAAAAAAAAAAGAAAACAAAAACAAGAAGAAAAAAAAACACAATAATTACTGATTGTATATGATTATATGATTCATTCGATATTAATTGTAATTACATACTTATTTATTCATGCCAAACACATACACACCTTATATATATATATATATATATGTATACATATGTGTGAGTGCCAGTGTATGTGTGTGTGTGTGTTCTTTATTGTATGTATGTGAGCGTACATCCTTTGTTTCTGTGTACATACACACATTCACATAGATAGACATACAGACATACATAGTTGTGTAACATACAATCATACATTTTCACTCACATATATCTGCATACATACATACATACCTTATATACAGACATACATCATATACAACCATACACATCACTTGTTCGCATTTTAGCACACTCACATACATACATATCTATAAATATATATATATGTACTACACACTCACCCATACACCCACAAATACACACACACCCACACTTATCTATTGTAATTTCCTTCATTTCATTACAGTTAAACAAGTAAAAAAAAAAACGCAATATCTTAAACTTATAAGTTATGAAGGAAACTTCGAAAAAAAAATTATATACATATATATTTCCCGATTCCTCGAAAAATATATATTAGCCTCATCATTTTAAGAACTTTAAGAAAATATTAGAAAGTAGAAATATGATTTAACTTAAATATTATTGTTGCTAGAAAAAAGTGAAACATTCTTGTTTTAAACAATCCATCAAAGTCGAGGCACTTCATATAGTTTGCTTTCAAGTATTCTATCTAGCAAAGTTCAATGTTTCAACAAATTCGAGATTTTATTTCAAATTCAATTTTTGAATAAAACAATTTTAATTTGTTTTTGATTTAGATCTTCGAGAAAACTAAAATCAAAGTAAACATCATAAACAAAGTGTAGGATGTCTCGCTGAGCACCACCAAAAACCACTGAACCACCGTACCACCGATATTTATTTTGTGCGTAAACCCTCTTAAATTAAAAAAAAAAAAAAAAAACATAATAGTAAAATTTAGTTTTACTTAAGTTTAACATTCAAATATATGATCTTGATCTCGATCGCGATCTATCTTGTTGTATTCTGTGTATTCTGTATTGTATCAAAGACCAAACACACACACACACACACACACACACACACACACACACACAAATATCACCCGATTATTTTCAGTGTAACTCTATTTGTTTTACTCCAACACACACACACATACCTGCTCTCAAGCTCCCCTCTCTCTCTCTATCTGAATAATGATAAATATTTATGGTTTTGATATTTTCATCGGTTTTCGATTTGGAATTATCGATTATTGTGATCTAATAATTTTAAGTTTCATACGAATCATATGAATTTTATCCGTGCTACTTATCTATTATCTATGTATATGTATGTAAACAGAAGAAGAAGAAGATGCAGAAGAACAATCAGAGGACGAGCACAACTTAAACCATTAAGCTAGAGATTTTTGAATTAACGGTTTTCGGTTTCGATTTGATTTGATTTGATTTGTCTCTGTTGCACCAGCACCACCGCGATGCAAACTGAGTGGATTCATAGATTTTTGGAATTGTTTTTCGTTACACTTCTGTTCAGTAGATATAGGGCCTAGATCACCCATCCAATACGCTCTTCCCGCAATATTATGCACCAAACTAGATCAAGATTTACGTTTTTTCTACGGTTTCGGTTTCAAAACACTTTTCGGATTTTTGGGTACGCTGAGCTGTGAATTGAGTTGATTTGTAGATTGTTTTTGCCATATATCTATAGA